ATTAGTCTGTAATATGTAATTAGTAAACGTCATATGACAATAAAAATAATAAATTTTAATAAAAAATAACCTACATTGGTTACTGCTCTGTGATCAAGAAATTGTAAAAAGCCTATATAAGTGATGATTTGTTACTGGTAGAATAAAAAATGAATAAGGTTTATTGATTTGTTTATGGAGAAAGTATCCAATATCAGCATCGTTTTATTCAGAACGATTTACATGACAACAGAAAATTGTTGTAAGTTATACAGTTAAAATAGTATTCACTCGTGGGCAGTATAATCCAATGGTCATCGTGTGAATTCAGTTAGCAGGTGGGAATTATAAAGGATATGATACTGGGTAAGCATATAGTATAATGCGAAGCCTAACTCAATCTTAACTCAAACTTAACATTCCCATGCATTCAATCATATAATATAATCATAAGAAGGGTTAAAGTTCCTCGCCATCTCTCATTGATATGAAATTTTATAGTCGAATTCATGAGTTTATTGAGGCTAGACCGCCATGGAAAACCTGGAAGCACTGGATGGCCGTTTCGTCCTGGTGTGGGACTCCTCAGCAGTGCGCATCCACAATCCCGCCTCGTGAGATTCAAACCCAGGACCTATCCGTCTTGTGCGCGATCGCTTAACCACTAGACCACTGAGCCGTCATCAAACGGTGTTAATGTCTAACCTCAACCAATCCACGAAGTTGCGCCACCGCCTACATCTAATATTTTCCTCAATTCTACACATTATTTCAAATCCAGGCATCAAAAATACAAGTTAGTAATCGATAGAAACATATGAAATTTTATATTCATCATTTATACACAAACTGAATATTATAGTGTTTTGAAAATTCTGTTGAATTATCAATTTTCAATAAGTGATCTAATCTGGGTTGTTGACATGACATATATTTTTCCGTTTTCGATAAAATCTATCTACTGACTGTTTTTTTATAGAAATGTCCATATAACCATATGATCATATGATGCTACATGTTATTAAACAAAACAAAGCGGATATTTAATGTCTTAATTTTATTTAAATAATGGAAACTCATAATTAGTTGGATTTCGTTATACAATTCAAATGCTATGAAATAAAAATTTAGAAAGCTCTCGTATAACTTGATTCAAAATAATATGTAGGCTGAGTATTTCCTAAGTAAAATTTGAATAAAATCTTAGTTGGTGGTTGCATAATCAATGTTTCAGATGATAAGGAATAATGAATTGTAACGTACGCTTGATATAATAGCTCCATATGTTGACCTACTTTCAGACAACAGTGATACTGAGTATTTAATAGTACATAAAAAATGATAGTACTATCATTAATTATACTACTAAAATTTATATCATATGGTTAAAGATCGTCAAAAATTACTCTTGAGTTTTTAGCCTTAGTTACGTTCTGCTAGCCAATTGATTTAATCGAGGGATTTCCGTTGTCTTTACAGACAAGCCTATCTGGGTTTTCACAACCGAAATCACGAAATGATATCAACTAGACCATCACTGGAAACCTGAAAGTGCTGGACAACCATGGCACTGATACCTACAAAATCACAATCGATTTGTCACCATTGTATTATTCATTAGAGAAATGAGGATTCTTTGGTTTTTAAACTAAAATCATTATCTTGAACGTTTTGAAGGGTCTACTGTAAAAGATTTTTGGGCATTCCACAACAAAGTATAATCTTAAACATCATCAATGCAATAAAATACAGTTTGAAGTATCTTTTCTTGATTTTGAAACCAAGTTAGTTAAATATGTAATTTATATTCGAGATCTAAATTAACTATAAATTCAAAGTTTCTGTACAAAGTATTTGTAGAGAATGAAATTTTGTTAAACTACACTCAATTTAATTTATATGTCAACATAGCGGATAGCAAAAATCTAAGCATGGTCTTCAGTTTTTTAGACTCAAACACAATTTTGAGAAAAAGGATCTTTAAACACTACTGAAATAACCAAGTTTTAAAAAGTGATGTAAAAGCTAGCTAAATCATAGTTTATCAAAAACTCGATTGATAAACCACTGATAACATATTAGTGTTACTCAGTCTTGATGTTCACAAGTCGAAAGTGGGTTTGCCGGGGTCAGAATTAGTGTGAAAATATTATCATACACAATTTTTCAGCTTAAAATCTGGACAAAGTGATTGATTTAAATATTCACCTGAACCTTATGGTTGAATAAGTCAATTACTTTTTCAACCTCGTTCATTGAATTCAGAAAAATAATAAAATGAATATCATGTCAGTTCTTGGTAGATTTATTGCTTTCACTGATGTACTTTTCACTGTTATAAATATGAATGAAATCCAATCAGTAATAGAACTGCTTAAATGTACTATATTTATAGTGGGTGTAGCATAGGTTTCGAAGTTATTCTCTAACTTACCGCAAAGGAGTTAACCTTGTGTAAGTGTTCTTTAACCATTTGAATGCTAATGAAGACTACGAAGCATCTAACAAATAGTTGAGTTTTTATGGATATCATGAACTGATCAATGTAAGACCACCACTGAAAACCTGGAAGCAGTGGGAGGCCGTTTCGTCCTTGCATGGGACTTCTCAGAAGTCGGCATTCACGATCTTGCATACAGGCATAAACCTGAGACCTTCGGTTCCGCGTGAACCCGTAATCTCTAGACCACTGAGTTGGCATTCAACGACGTTAATTCATAACTTCAATCAATACACGATATTGCACGACCATCTGCCAATGTCTTCTGTGAGTAACAGTCTCACGCTCGACACGGTTGAATTCCACTGGTCACGGTTTCTCACTGTAACATCGGTTTAATTCACATTATTATCTTTTCAAACTGGAAGACAGGAATTATACCTAAGAAGTTGAAGAAACTCTATCAAGAAATTCACCCCTTTCAGTAAAATAAAAACATCATTCACATTTGTCACATACACATAGAAGCTTACCATTACATATAACATATTTGGTGAATAAAATTATGTGTTTTCCTTTGTAATAAATGCTCATAAAATTGATTTTGTTACTTTATATTTAGTTACGATACTTTCTAGATATTCAGTCAGTACAGTTCTTTTCATCAGTTACAAAGTAATTCACTTGTTTTTGTTAGAAAAAACTTTCTTCCCAGTTTTATCCTGCTCAAAAATAAAAGTTTATCATTTGATTTTTTCAAGTTGATAAAATTATTTAATACGTCTGAAAAGTTTCTTTTTACAAAATAACTTTTGGTTGAAAAATTTACTATTAAGAAAACCTACCATTCATACAAATGAAGCACTAATGATACTATTATATGAGATTGATGGATAAATATGTGAAGCTAGAATTTCAGGGTTTTATTTAGTCATATATATACTCGAAAAATACACAAAGAATACTGTATTATTTTGCTCTCGAATACTGAGTTAAGAAAGAACTGAAATTTTTCTGATATGTTGTTTAAAAAGTACATTAATTAACTATAAGTGAGGACTTTTAATAATACATCATATATTTAAGCGTTATCTTATTTAGCATCTACTCAAATGCTTGTTACAATATACAATGCAAATCATTACATAATTATAAGATTGTCAAAATGTTGTCAAGTATAATTGTTACATCTGAGCTTTTCCGGTCACGGCTGACCTCCTATATTTACGCTGACTTGTTATCCGTTGGTTATGGCATCACATTTATATAGTCTCCAGTATTAGTAAACTTCCAGTTCAAGTAAGCGAGATAAAGTTCCCCAGGTTTACAGACAAAACAATGAAGAGATGAATAAAAATTATTCTGTAGAATTTGACAATCACTAAGAGCTAAATGAACAAGGTGTTGTTCGATACCAAATCATTGATCAGTGTACATTTATATTAAGCCATTTACTCATTGGTTGATAGTTTTAAAAAATTCTCACTAGAAACATAAAAAGTAATGCATCGGATGAGTCTTGATTACAATTTCTCTAGACAACCTATGTTTTGTGATCAAAAAAGTTTCTCACTTTCACTTAATGTTACTACCTTCAGAATATACGATATGACACACATTAATTAAAGTCATGTAGTAGATCTCCAAGTTAAGTTCACAATACAGGGAATTTTAAGTACTATCATGAAATATCATCGGTCCCTTCAAAATTGTTTTCAGTTGCAAATAGACTTGTATAGATTGGATGAACAAAAGAGTTTTAATAAGTCATCTTTCAAATAATTTAAATTTTAAATTAAAATGACTTCATATTATATCCTTTACAAACCCGAAAAATATTTTGTAATCAAGTTGGCAATTAAATTTCACACATTTTAAAAGTAGTGACATATTATTTTCTTTACTAGTGAACTGATTTTCACAATTAATCTCTGAAGTGATCATTCAGTAATTACTTTAAAAATATGACTTTTTATGGAATCTTTGGATTTCATGTTAAAATATCGAGACGATACGTACAGTATGCACATATGCCAATAAAAGACTGATAAAATGCAGTCTTATATATCAATGGGAAGATTCCATTAAACAATACCAAGAAAATTTATTATTCTTTATTATTTTACCTATGGAAATGTAATAATATTATTTCCTTTTTTATTTGTGATAGTTTAGATTTTCCCTTTGTTAATGTTAAGTACCAGATTTAAGTCAAATCAATCCTTAGCATTAAAAAAAAACAACTAGAGGATTCTAACACATATAAATAATAAAATTCACTGTTATTGCACAATTTAGTGGATATCTGAATTCAGTAGCTCGGTGGATAATGCACTAGATATTTAAATTGCAAGGTACTGGGTTTGAGTCCCAGAATGAATAAGAACACGGATGCAGATACATCCGGCTGACGAGTTATAAGTAGGACGAGACGGGTGTCTTGAATTTCACTTTTTCAAAGTGAATTTAGTATGCTTAACAAAAATGGGCTGAAATTTTATTTTAATTGAAATTTTCATCAATATAAACCACAATCGAATTTAGGAATGCGTAATTACCATAAAATCTGAAGTAAACTTACCTGGTGACGTGAAAATCAATAAAAGTAGAATGAGAAAGAGATGTAACATTTTTATATTGAAATTGTAAATCATTTAAGATGATAGGAAACACAAGAAAAATATGCAGACAAATTTCATATACTGATCAAAGTACCGTTATTAATTGTAACGAATATAAAAGATTCGAATTACCACATTTATTCAAATCTGTCTGTTTATCCAGTTATTGAATCCTTTAGGGTATTTTTTATAATTATTCACGAGGTCTAATTTTATTGGCTTGCTAGAGAGTTGGTTATTTTCCTGATTTGTGATTGGTTAAAATTTTGACAAAACTGTCCAAAATCAAAGTTCTTATTTATTTAATTTTATCGCTCGAGCAAATCCAGACTATATCACTTGGGCTATTCATCGGATACTGATCTCCAACAGTTTAATATTCATAAGAGAATTATTAGTATATTTTACTATGAGAAATAAAGCTACTGTGTTGTAGGCTACATATGTATGTATTCATAATTAGTATAAAATACCATTCGGAAATCGAAAACCTGGTAGCAGAATGCTATGAAGGTTGACTTGAAGAAACTTACTTATTTACGCCTGTTACTACCAACGGAGCATAGGCCGCTGACCAGCATTCTCCAACCCACTCTGTCCTGGGCCTTCTTTTCTAGTTCCATCCAATTCTTGTTCATTTTTCTCATGTCTATCTCCATTTCTCGGCGTAATGTGTTCTTTGGTCTTCCTCTTCTCCTCCTTTGGCATTGAAGATTCCATGTGAGGGCTTGTCTTGTGACGCAGTTGGGTACTTTCCTCAATGTGTGTCCTATTCACTTCCAGCGCTTCTTCCTGATTTCTTCCTCCGCTGGGATCTGGTTTTTTCTCTTACACGGTACGTTGTTGCTAATAGTGTCCGGCCAATGGATCTGAAGTATTTTGCGTAGACAATTGTTAATAAACACCTGTATTTTCTGGATGATGGCTTTCGTAGTTCTCCAGGTTTCTGTCCCATACAGTAGAACTGTCTTGACATTTGTATTGAAAATTCTGACTTCGGTTTTGGTTGACAGTTGCTTTGAGTTCCAGATGTCCTTCAGTTGTAAATATGCTTCTCTTGCTTTACCGATCCGCGCATTCACATCTGCATCAGATCCACCCTGTTCATCAATGATCCTGCCCAAACACGTAAAGGTTTTTACATCTTCCAACTCTTCTCCGTCAATTATGATTGGATTGGTGCATGCTGTGTCGTATCGGAGAATCCTGCTTTTCCCTTTGTGTATATTGAGACCTACTGCTGCTGAGGCTGATGCTACACTGGTCGTTTTCTCCTGCATTTGTTGTTGCGTTTGGGATAGAAGGGCCAGATCATCTGCGAAGTCTAGATCATCCAACTGCATCTTAGATGTCCATTGTATCCCGCGCTTCCCTTCAGACGTTGACGTCTTCATGATCCAGTCGATCACCAGGAGAAAGAGAAAGGGTGAGAGTAAGCAACCTTGCCTGACACCGGTCTTTACTTCGAACGACTTTGTCAACTGTCCTCCATGCACAATTTTGCAGTGTAATCCATCATATGAGTTCTGTATGATATTGACTATCTTCTGAGGCACGCCGTAGTGTCGAAGAAGTTTCCGTAGTGTTGTTCTGCCCACGCTATCAAATGCCTTTTCGTAGTCAATGAAGTTGATGTGGAGTGATGAATTCCATTCAATTGATTGTTCCACAATGATTCGTAGTGTTTTGATTCGGTCTGTACACGATCGATCCTTATGGAGTCCAGCCTGTTGGTTTCGAAATTGGGCATCTACGCAGTCCTTCATTCTGTTTAACAATACCCTGTTGAAGACTTTTCCCGGTATTGAGAGAAGAGTGATGCCCCTGTAGTTATCACACTTGCTGAGATCGCCTTTCTTCGGTATTTTGATCAGAAGTCCTTCTTTCCAGTCTTTTGGTACTTGTTCCTCATCCCAAATCTTATTGAAGAGAATGTGAAGTATCCTTGCAGTTGCCGCTACGTCTGTTTTTAGTGCCTCTGATGGAATTTTGTCTGGTCCTGCTGCTTTGCCACTCTTGATTTGTCTGATGGCCATGCTGATTTCTTCAATTGTTGGTGGGCCAACATTGATTGGGAGGTCCGTGAGTGCTGCTTCGGTATTGGGTGGGTTCAATGGGGCTGATCGATTGAAGAGTTCTTTGAAGTGTTCTACTCGCCTGTTTCGTTGTTCTTCAGTGTTGATGATTACCTTGCCTTCCTTGCTTTTCACTGGTCGTTCTGTTTTGCGGCGATTTCCAGAGAGTTTCTTTGTCGTATCATACAGTTGTCTCATGTTTCCTTCTCTTGCAGCCTTTTCCGCCGTCGTTGCTAAATCTTCCACATATTTACGTTTGTTAGTTCTGATGCTCCTCTTCACTTGTTTGTTTACTTCTGTGTATTTAGCTGATGCCTTGGCTTGACTTGAAGAAAACAGAAACAAAATTAGGAAGTAATTGTGAATCAAAAAATCATATTGAATGTGAAAGACAAATGACGGGAATTCGCAAATGAAGTATTTAATGTATTGTTCTTAAATTTTACCAAGATACTCTAAAAGTCTTCTTATCAAAACAATACTGAAACAGGAACTAAATAGTCAATGGATGATTAACTGGGATATAATAGAGGGGGAAATAATCCATGAATAAATAATTGGCGATAGAAAGTCGCCCAGGAAATAAATAGAAGTTACGTCATGAAAGGTGTCTTGGCGCCACTGTTAAGCCCTCGAACATTAGTCAAGTTGATATGCAAACTTTCCGAAATTCTTCAAATCTGTTAATAAAATGAATCATTTGACAGTGATGCTTAATTAGTTTTTAACTTTGGCACCAATTAAGTCCCGCAAAACTAAAACAATTGAAATTTTATTCAGCATAATTGTTTAAAACAGGTTTGTTTATATAGACAGCTATTACAGATTGAAATTAGGCGTTTAGTTTTCGGGAATTTCTTTTGCATTTATATGATTATGAGCTAAAAACGAAATTCGTTTCAACACCTCTATGAAAGGATTTTTTGAGCCTAACATAAAACCAACTCTCCACTTTGCATCAATAAAGATTACCTGATTTTTGTTTTACTCCGAATACATTTAATGACACTAAAACAAAGTCAGATTACCATGTTTACAGTGTTCAGGAAACATAATACATTGAATGACTCTTTTAGGAAAGCAGAATTCAAACGTGCGAATGAAAATAGTTATTTAAAATTTTGAATAAAAACAATCACTTAAAAACAAAAAGTGATAAATTTAAATTGACAAAAACTGTTTATAAATTGAAGGTTTTCAATAAAAAAATAAGAACACTACATACTTATTTATTTACTTACTTACGCCTGTTACTCCTCGTAGAGGAGCATAGGCCACCCACAAGCACTCTCCATCCAACCCTGTCCTTGGCAATCCTTTCCAGCTCTTTCCAGTTGTTAGCCATTTTTTTCATATCTGCTTCTATTTCCCGACGTCATGTGTTCTTTGGCCTTCCTCTTTTCCGTTTCCCTTCACGATTCCCAGAAACTTCTGACACATTGAAGTAAATGCTTCTTTGATACCTTCCCAGTTGTCCTCCATAGTGGTTTCTCCTTCTTTCAGTAGATCTTGTAAGGCTTGGAACCTGTTGTTGAGAGCTATCTTGAATTCATTGAGTTTATCGGTATCTCGAAGGAAGGCTGTGTTGAACCTTTGTAGTGCTGTTTGTCCAGTTCTTCTTTAGCTTCAGTTTTAAATTGGCCACAACTAGGTGATGATCTGAAGCTATGTCAGCTACTCTCCTGGTTCTCACATCTTCCATTGTCCTTCGGAACTTTTTATTGATGCAAATATGATCTATCTGGTTCTCTGTGGTGTGGTCCGGTGAGATCCATGTAGCTTTGTGTATACGTTTGTGTGGAAATATCGTGCCTCCTATGACCAACTTGTTGAATGCACACAGATTTGCAAATCTTTCCCCATTTTCGTTTCTCTCTCCCAAGCAGTCCATGTTGTCCCATGATATCTTCATATCCGGTGTTGTCTATTCCGACTTTGGTATTTAGATCTCCCACCAGAATGGTGAGGTTCTTTCTTGGGCACTTCGCTATGATTGACTGCAGCCTCTTATAGACAAAATAATCCGAATCATCCATCAGGTATTTCGCAAACCAGGTATAAATACTTACCTGTTTGCATACTTCATGCTTTTATCAGACTAATAAAGCGTTAGCCATTGTCACAGATTAAAGATAGATCATCATACTTCAAATAATTTAAAATGATCCAAACAAAAATATTGCGATGTTTTGTTTGGAAAAGCTATCGCAATTATGAAAATGTTAAGCTAGACAGATTTAGTCATTGAAAACAAGTCATATCAATTAGTAATTGACTTTTTCACCGATTGATTTGATTGTTTTAGTAATTCGAAATTGAATAGACTTTCAGTGTATTTAGCCCATGTTAAATCAGTTGCTGATTTAGATCGCTAATAAATTAAATCATCTGGCTCAAAAAAATGAAACCACCATAATAATTCCCCAGAGCTACAAATCTCTAACATCTCACACTGGTTTGGCTTAAAGCATGTGTGTAAGATAGCATTGAAAATATCATTTATTATCCAGTTTCCAGTAAAAATATAATTTTTACTGTGCTAACTGTAAATGTTATGTTTTACGGTCAAAATATTATCCACTAAACATTTAAATTGTTGGGAAATTTTCTCGTTTTAAAAATCACAAAAATATGTTTATCTATAGTAATTCTGCTTCAACTTGGTTTTTTTATCCATTAAGTACAATTTTAAGAGTACCTTCCCCAAGTAAAGTTCAGTTAGTTAGATTATTTCATACACTTAGTTCCCTTTATCATTTGAATTGAGCAAGAACACAAATTCCAGCGGTTGGTTAGACAAGTCATGTTTTGATTATAATCAATTTTTGTTAAAGACTGAAATGTTATATCGGTAATTTATATGACGAAAAGCTTAACAACCGTTATTGATTTATGCCTTCGGTATTTCCCTAAAACTTAGTAATTATCCTCACTCGTTTGATAATCAGTTATCATTTG